CTGATTTAGATTTAATAGGGGTTGGTTAAACCCCTCTCCTTAGCCTTTCAAGACATCATAACTATTTGGACTACTCTCCTCCAAACAAATAACATGAATAAGAATAAAGGTACATCTTTTGGCAAATATGGTCGCACTAAGTCTAAGATGACGACCAGTCCATTTGATATTTGGAGGCAGTGAAAGGAGACGGTGTGGGGTGGGAATGTCGAAGGATTTTTTGTGGATTGGCTATTCATTTTCAACTTGCTACAAGAGACCAAGGATTTGTATATATGGAGACAAATCCTTGCAGAGACGTATAGTGGCTATGCATGCTTTTTTTCCCGAACATTATTTTCACTATTGTACATCTGTCCATCCTATCTTATGCAAGGTTATTTATGGTCAACTCTTACCAGGCCTGATGATGCATTAAAAAAATCCTTCTCCCCCTTTTATCCCACCAGAAAATCAAAAGAATTGTCCCCTTACACCTGCACGACTAAAACATATTCATGTACAAATGTGGTATCGTTGCCAATGTGACTAAGGACGTAGAAGTTAACAATTATAGGTCACCGTACAGACTTCAACAATGGGCTAAAAACCCATACTGCATAGTAAGCTATAAACGGCCAAAATAGATAGACAATATCTGACAAGGGCAGGAATGTTCAGAATGTTGAAATCTTTCTACTGTTCATTTGCACCAAAACTTGCAGCTGACTCATAGGAGTTGTTGCCTTAAATAAAGATGTTTACCAATTTTGTTTTCTTGATATTTCTTGAATTTGCTTTTTTATCTTGAAAACTATAATATTTAACATGTTTAAAGAGAAACTTAAATCTTATTAAGAAGTTGTTGCTTTTTAATGATGATTTTGATCCGGTTTTTGCAAAAACTTAGAAACTTTAAATCTTCTTAAAGGTCTACTCCTTATATATATACCGCCTTGGTGGTCTCGTGGTAGTGTGTTCGCCTCGAGTGCAGAAGGTCGTTGAATCGAACCCCGGCCGGGTAAAACCAAAGACTTTAAAATTGGTATTTACTGCTTCTCCACTAAGCACGCGGTATTAAGGAGTAAGAGCAAAGACTGGTCGGCTCGGAGTCAGAATAATGAGTCCAGGTAAGGTAATTTTTTGTGGTTGGTCTATTTGTCAGATACTATAAAGCAATAGGGCCACTTTATGTGGTGTATAGAATGATTGTAAGGTGTACATGTCTAACTGGCAGGTTTCATCTTACCTAGACCTCATTTTCATGGTTCATTGGACAATGTTTAGTTTTTGTGGTTGGTCTTCTTCTCAGACACTATAAGCAGTAGGGCCACTTTATGTGGTGTATAGAATGATTGTAAGGTGTACATGTCTGACTGTCAAGTTTCATCTTACCTTGACTTCATTTTCATAGTACATTGGACAATGTTTAGTTTTTGTGGTTTGGTCTATTTCTCAGGTACATGTACTGTAAGCAATAAGGCCACATTATTGGTGAATGGAATGATTGTTAGGTGCACATGTCTGTCTGGCATGTTTTATATGGCTTTGACCTCATTTTCATGGTTCATTGGTCAATGATAAGTTTTCATGGTTTTGTCAGTTTATCATATACTTTAAGTAATAGGTATATTATATTTGGTGTATATAACGATTGTAAGGTGTGCATGTCCGTCTTGCAGATTTATATAACCATGACCGCATTTCATGGTTCTTTGGTCCATGCTACGTTTTTCTTTGTTTTGTCATTTTATCAGATATTATAAGCATAGGTCTACTTTTTGGTGTATGGAATGACTGCAAGGTGTCATATAAAAATAAGAAGATGTCTGTCTGCCAAGGTTAATTTTACTGTGACCTCATTTTCATAGAACATTGATGATATTTAACAGCAAAAATGATGAACAAGACAAGATATACAAATGAGCCAAAATTGTCTGTTGCCTACTCATAGTAGTTATTGTCATTAAATAATTTTTAGCCTTTAATGTGTAGGGCAAGAACAATAGAAGATTAAGGGAAACTATAAACAAAATAAATTTTCAACAAAACAAGATTTACAGAAGTCAACAAAGCCTTAAGGGTAAGTCCACGTCTATAAAAGTTTTTGCCCTTGAATGATGATTATTAAGAAAATAAGAAGATGTGGTATGACAAATGAGAAAACTATCCACCAGAGTTCTATTAAGTGGATGTAAGCAATGCAATTACTTAAAGAGGCCAATGATGACCTTTTAATAATGAGAAAAACCATGCCCTATAAATGTTATAGTCATCTATAAAATGCACCACATACAAAATTTGAAACAATTCAAACTTCAAATATAGCAGGCTAATTTATAACAAAACAATTTATGAAAAATAAATATGACAGACATGAACCAACATCAACCACTGAACTATGTACAGGCTCCTGATTTTAGACAGGCAGAATATGGCTGGGTTGATATAAAAAAAAAAGATGTGGTATGATTGCCAATGAGACGTAGAAGTTAACAAATATTGTTCACTGCCTTCGACAGTGAGCAAAACCTATACCGCAAAGTAAACTATAAAAGGCCATGAAATAACAAATATAAAACAATTCAAAGGCGAAAGCTAAGTGCCTGATGTTTGCACAAAACAATAAACGGAAAACAAATATGATATATAGCAACAAATGACAACTACTGAATTACAGGCCCTAACTTGAGACAGATACTTACAAAATGTGGCATGGTTTAACATGTTTGCTGGTGCCAAACCCTCCCCTAACCAAGAACAGTGATGTAGGTGTCAGTTCAATATAAAAACTTTCAAAATCAGTTAAAAAAGGCTGTTTTTCTGCTCTTTGGTCAGATTGTTGTCTCTTTGATACATTCCTGTTTCCATTCTCAGTTTTATTAACTCATCAGAATGTAACAAAGAAGAAAAACAGCTGCCAAAAATACAGACCGGACGTGGCTGGAAATTTATTCTTTCCCTATAACAAAAAAACCTCAACGTACAGGTTTGTTAGTATTCACAGTTACGTACAGCTAATTCAAAGCCAATAACAACTAATAAAAAAAACATGTTGCGAGTACTCAACCCACCCCTAACCTGGGACAGTAGTTTTAATAACAGCACAACACTTGAACAAACTGTAAATATTTGTTACAATTGGCTCAACTCAAAAGATTGCAACAAGGCACCAAATCAACTCATATAAAGACCATAGACACAAAGCAATGACATAAGAGTATTCACAATTAATATTCAAATGAAAGTTTATCAAAATGTTCATAAACAAGATAAAATAGCCTTTTTTATTGCTGTATTTCTCTCCATTTAAAACAATTTGTGAGTTTCATGTATTTGTAGGTCAGACATCTTGGTTTTCATGATCATCAGCACGTCAATACTAAAGAGAAAACTTAAATGTGTTTTTCCTCCAAAAGAAATAGGAAATTTAAAACAAATGACTATAAACAAAAAGGAGTCCTAGCATAGATGCACAAGAACATAATCGTGTAAATGCAACAACATAAATATTTATTGAAAGAAGGGACAAATGAAGAAAAAAATGAGTATTTTGTTGTCCAAATGAACAATTGCTTTGTCCACTCATTTACATCGCTCCATCCAATAAAGATGTACGGAGGAAGATCTTTGAAGAAAAAAATGCAAAAATGTTTTCTCTAAGAATTGTAGGAATAATTCTAGTGGATGGAATAATTTATTTACTTGAGTCTTATATAGTGGATTGAATAATTGTACAAAGCAAGCTGAAACAAGAAAACTAAAACTTAACATGAAAAGTGTTTATTTTATTAAATTTGCAAATATTAACATAATATTATAAACACCACAAATGGTATACAATTCAAATCGGTTGCATATTCATGTATTGCAATGCAACAATAACAAAGAAACTATTCCTCGTGAAAAGAGTAGACTATAAACTGTGCTTTGTCAATTTATTCGTACAGAATATGGAATATTTTTTTCAGTTCTAGTTTTCATAATAAAATAAACAAACCAAACTTTCAAAGCAATACTTATTTTTAGTTAGTCATTTTGTTTCAGTTAAAGGATTTTATTTAATTGACTTCAAATAGAATCCTTCAAACCTTTATATTATAGTTTAGTGATTAGCATTTCTAATTCTACATTAACCCTTATATTATAAACTTATAACAGTTTACTAACAAACAGAATTCATTGTACCATACACATTAATGTATATTTATAATTTGAATCCCATGGAATTTTATTTTGTCCCATTAATCAACAAATATCCCATGGGACTACAATTATTCAATGGGACCCAAAAAAATCACATGGGCTTTAACACAAATCCCATGAGATAATGGTCAATCCCATGGAATTTTGCTCTATCCCATGGGATTTTAAAATTCCCATGTTTTTCCTAATCAGATTGCAAAATATATTTAATAATAACAGCAAAACAGCAATGAATTTATTAAATCCCATGTAATTCTGCACATTTTGGTTATATACATGGCACTGTAGCTCAAAAGAAAGGCGACGGAGGATTTGCAAATGAGTGTTTTGCAAATTAAAAGTGTCCGGTGTTTATTTATAGATTACAAAGGTTCTTCTGTATCGTCAAATATGCATATACATTAACTGTCTCATGTCTGTACTTGTGTGTTTATGATAGATACTTGTGTGTGCATGATATATCCTTGTGTCTGCATGAAAGATACTTGTGTGTGCATGATATATACTTGTGTCTGCATGAAAGATACTTGTATGTGCATGACATATATGACTCATGAATTTTATATAAACAAATGTGGTGAGGAGAGCTGACACTAACTAGGGCTTTCGGTCTTGTTGAAGCTGTGTGACAATTTATGATGATCTTCGTGTTTGCTTTTGATAATCAAAGTTGTGTAATTGTTGTCTCGTTGAGTTATTTCTATCTTACCTTTTTCCAATCATATCAAAAATTGACTGGTGTTTAAACATTGTAATGTTGTAAATCGCCTCGATTACTAATTATATAAAAGTAGTGAATATATTTCTAATGTTACCTTAACAGCCACGTGTCTGCACTTTTTCGTAGGAAACTCTTGAACCATAATACCACTATACACTTCACCAAAGGCACCACTCCCTATTTTACTATAAAACCAAGAAGGTATAACAGTGGACAGTAACATTTTTATATTTTAATATGATTAAATAATCACTTTGAAATCATAGAATTTTTAGACGCAAATGTACAATACTGGTGGTCGAAATCATATTACAAATTATTGTTGAATATGCCTGCATATACACACATTGAAAAAGAAAACAAGTGATATTTATACAGATTTCTATAATTCAAGATTTATAGCACATTCTTGTTATCATATTACGAAAATATAGCATTTTATGGTTTTGCTGTGGGAAGTTCAAATATTATTGTCCTTATCAATGATTAATGAGGTAAGATGAGGTTAAATGTCCTATTTGGTCACATTTTTTAAACATTTTATAAACAACTCAACAGTATTTGTAGACAGGTTAAAAGATGTGTTGGTGTTCTTTTATTGTATGGAAGAATTTAAGGAAGATTTAAAATAAATAAATAAGTCATTGTACTCAGTCAACAACAATGATTATTTTTATATTAAGGATTATTTCTATATATTATCTTTAAATATACTAGTCATACACCATTATATGGTTTACTTAATTTTACGATTTCAAGTTTTAGAATTATACTATCTACATGGAATACGATATGCAAAACAACATCCGAAAATCATTTAAGTATTCACAATATGATGCCAATCTTAATTCTAAAAATGTCATAATTGTTTACACTGATTTCAAATCGCTTATGTCACAATCACTGGATTATTTTTTTTAAGAATGAGGGATTGAATGAAAAATCTTCCGCATGCACTGCAAAATATGTGTTTTGTCTTTACATTAGAAATGTTTTTGTCTTGGGAAGATAGTGCTTAAAAGGGTTTCATTGATAACATCTTCAAAATTGTTAAGTATCAAGGAACACTGCTTTAAATGAATATATTGAATGCTAATATCCTTTAAGGTTTAATTCGCTACATTTTCATATTTTAAGACACAACAACTGCTCTCATGTGCAATATTGTATACTAACTTTCTAGTTAACAATAAATGCTCGTATTGCGGTGTTTGAAATCGTTAAGAATAGAATGATTACAGATGTAATGATTAGACTGTTCTTAATTAAGATTCACATTACAATGGAATGCAAAGTACTCAAATAACCTACAGAATATAACATTGTGTAGGTCATGGTTGAATGTAAATTTTAGCTCAACTTACTTCGATATTGTCAGTTTTTCACGAGGGATTTCAATAAGTTTATTGTTGAGAATGCGGCCATTGTACCACTCATAATTTGGATTCTTCTTTGAAAGAAACTCTTCAATATTGCACAAAGTTGAGAGTGAAATGGAAGATAGTGTTGTGGAGTTTTCTAGAGCTGTCCATTTAACTGGGCTTTTATGTAAAGGCTGACCTTTTCTAACAAACGAATTCCTCCTATACCACTTGGTTACAACTGGAAAATACATGATGGTTTCAATTATAAGACACAGGTGTACTAATATGTCTATTATCACAACATTGTTTTAATTACAAATGTCCCATTTTATACAGCTTATACATAAACATAAAAAGGAACATACAAAAAAACCTGAATAAACCGGCTGGCTATGGGACTATAAAACAGGGCCGGTTTGGACAGTAAGTCGGTTTATTCAGGTTTCCGTTTTGACAGGAAGTTATTGACATGTGACGTCAGATATTTTGCATGTAAAAGTTCTGACTCATTGTAAATTGCAAACTAATAAATACAAATACCGTAATAATATATTTATCAAAAGTAATGTCATGATTTGTTTGAAAATATTGTGACAAGGACATTACAACTCTTCCCTGCTTATTCACTATGTAACTCCGCACGATCGTTGTTTTGAGTCTTCGTATTCATTGGCTTTAGAAATTTCAATAATTGATTGTTCCCAGAATTTGAAAAAAAAATATTTTAACTTTTTTTTACATATCCTCGTATGTCAAATCGACCTCAATAGCATCACTCTCCGACTTGTCAGTTTCACTTTCACTTTGAGTTCATTGTTTCCATTTGCATCAGAATCCTCGCGTTGTTTGAAATTTTCAACGAGAGTTTCGTTTTACTTTCATCGTTCATTTTCTACGTTGGTATAGCCGATTAAAAAGCAAGACTTTTATCAAACAAAATTGCATCGTGATCGAAACACTCGACAATGAAATGTCGTCATCCGGGTTTTCTTCATTTTCAGGGTCATTGGTTTCGGGGTTCAAAAAAACCTTTTCGAAGCATTCCGAAAACACGATGTAAATTTCTTACCCTGCGATTTGAAAAATGTATCAAAATTACAACGTAAGTTTTATTAGAGACATATTCGGCGTTTCTTTCAGGTTTATTTTAATTAAAACTAAATAGTGTTTCAATAATAAAGCTCACTACAGTATGTTCGCGGTTTAACACCTTGCTTATTAAGTATCCTGAAAAACCAAATCTTGTATAAACAAATATGTTTTGATTGCATATTGATTAATACATTTGTACTGTTATCATGTAAAATTCATTAAACAAACCGGTATTGACAAGTAATTATCAATGTAATTAAGAGTATACACAGGGTCCGGTTAACAGGGGGTATTTTTACAAAAACTTTGAAGAAGAAATGATGGGACTTCAATTTTCGGATGGAATGGACAGTAAACTGGTTTATTCAAGGTCTGACTGTATCGTGAATCCATTCTCGACGCAAAACACTAGCACGCTCTTGACAAATATTAAATCTAAGACTCAGCGCTGTCAATTTTGTTGTTCATCTCGACACGCAGTCTTCAACATGACACAAACACAACATATACTATATTTAGTTTTACTTTGTTCTGGTTTGCTGCTAAGCGCTTTGATACAAGACGTTCACTTTGACTTTTTGGTGAAGCAAAATCTGTGTATTGTTTTAGTCATTCAAATCAGGTATTTTCTTCCAGTGGCAGGGAGTCTGGTACAGTCTGTGTAACCCCCTCTCTAACCCCATAATTTTCTTGTTAAACCCCAAAGATTAATCCTTATGTAAAATCAAATTATATAACTTCACTTTTCAATACATGCCTGTTATTGTAATTAAAACCAACGTGGTAAATGCTACACCCACAAACACGGGGATAATTACTTCCAGGGACAATGCATCACTGTTTTCTTTAACCTCTATCATATCGACGCTAGATGAATCTGTAATATATGGTATACATTTAAATAATTAATACATTTTATCCGTTACTGTTAATTCAGAAATGCTTGATTACATTTATTATTGCGGTTGGTGCAAAATGGACAACAATACAATAATAATTATTTCGATCTTCGATTTTTGGAAATTGGGCATTCAAATAATGAGATCCCAAATTTAAATCGCGAAATTTTTAGCTGTTCTTAAGAAGGTAGATCCAGAAAAGCACCTCCGACGTATTCAAGTTTTAAGGTGTAATTTTCAATTTTATTAGCATTGGGTCGATCCTGCTACTGGTGGACCATAAGTTCTCGAGAGTATCGTCAGCTAAGCACTAATTAATTCGGTACTACCATGCTTTATAACATACCTTTCTTAAACTGTCCTTTTATGAATCACAAAATTATTAAGAAACTAAACTATTGACCTTAGATGGATTCGGTTATTATTGTAGGTCCTTTTTGGTCATATAAATCTTCAACTTTTTCTGTTCTTATTCATTCTTGGCCATCAAATATTCGGCTTGAAACGTTCCTGATGAAGGTTAATAAAAAAAACGCTTCTAATGCATTAAGTTTATGAAGAGCTATTTTATTTTCTAATAGAACATACACAGATTTCCTTCTACAAGGTTGTAATATATATATTGAATAAATAATGAGTTACAAACATCACAAATTAGATTTACTTGACATTTAAATTAACCTTAAATCTTCGAACTACTTTGACACACCTGCCCGCTGCCAATGGTACACTTATAATGAAATTGCGTTCAACTGTTCAACAGTTGAAACTTGTCAAGTTCTAGTACAATTTCACTTTGGTAATTCCTTGGTGAACATAACAATATAAAGCAATTACGTAAGGTGGTTCGTTTCGTAACTTTCATTGATGCTTGTATTATCTAGCAATGAAACCAACTCATGTATTATTTCAAATAAGAATCTTCGCTGTGATTTGTGAATAAGACAGAAATCAAAATTGAAAAAAATTAATAATTTACTAGTGTGGCCGCTTTGTTAATATGAACATTATTCATGTATAAGCTATGTGTGCATTTAAATGATTGTTAACTGTTTTACATTAAACAAATACTGACCTACAAAGGTACATCCTTGAGAAAATGATACATCATCGATAGCAATATAGTCCTTATATAGATCAATAGACCTTACAGTCTCAAACTGTAAATAAAATCTGAAAAATAAAGAGTTGTGGCTCTTTTCAAAAACACGCTGACGAAACAAAATATGGCATTCGAACGAAATGTCTTATAATAAGATAATTGAGACACACGTCGACAATGTATATGTTGTTTTTTCATCCTTTTTATGCTTTGGTCTTCTTCCGGCTGGCAGTAAAACCCTCGCTGAAGTGTTGCATCCGTTTGGCTGTGCGGGATGTATCAAGTACGCAGCCACGTTTGATCAGAATGAGGACGTTAAATTCGATGCTTCGGTGTAGAGAAAGTGTCACGCTTTCTGCACGTTAAAAACCTTTGCAACAACTCTTCGAGGGGTCCGTAAGTAACTTGTTGCAAGGCCAAGTTTTTGTCCCTATCCAATATACCCTCATTTTCCTGTCGCAGTCGAAATTTTCCCCACGTTATCCCGGACGGCGTCAAATACATGACCTACCTATTGTATTTATTGTTATTTTGATCTTGTCCTGAACATGCATGAATTATTTATCACTTGACGTTAAGCAACCAACATTCAATCATCCTTATGAATATGAAAACTACGTTGTAATAGCTTCATGTCTTAATCAGCCGGTCTATTTGTAACACATCCAATAAATTATCAATCGTTGGATTAACTTTAACAACAAATATTTATTTTAAAAACTGTGTTTGCATACATTCTAGCAAAAAATCTCATTAAAGTGACACTTAACTGCTTCACTCTAGCAATAAATGTACTATTTTCAGGAAAATCCTGACTAATATAATGTCAATAATTCCTCTCTAAATTCAGTAAACGTCTGGAAAAAAATGCAAAAATAAATTTCCGTTTCTTTAAAGGCTTTCTTATCCATCACGATAAGACTCTTGGTGGTCGATATCTTGAAAAGATTTATCTTTTGGGAAATCTTGATAGTACCTTATTTCCATTTTGTTTAGATTGTACCTCCTCTTTTTATTGGGATGGTTGATTGTACAAAACTTACATAGATTTTTCTGTAGCCGGGATTTGAACTGAGATGGTGGTCCAATATTTTATTGTCAAGCTTTGGTTCCAAATATGTATTCTTTCTCCTGTTAACGGCAATATCAGCGCCAGTTTCAACAGTAATGTTCCAATGACAGCAAATTGTACCTAAAAATTGAACGAAAAGATGTCAGCGTCATGTTCTTGGTTTCCATTTGAACAACGATTAGGGATAGGTATGTTTGAAAAATGTTTGTTGTATGATGGTTACTTTTGATGGTGAGTTGAATGCGTCAAATGGTAGAGAAAAAAAATTATAAAAAATGAAGTAAGATATTTTGTATGAAGGAACTGTGATGTAGAAAAACACCCTTACTGCTTATATTTTTGACTGCCTATGAAAATGAGGATATCTTCGGAAGGTGTATAAATGATTAGTTGAAACATTCCAACTACGAACCCTTCAAAGTCTTATTGAAAGGAATTTATAACGCACATACAGGACTTGCCTGTGTACTTATAAAGTCAACCAGATACCACTTCTTAGCATAGAATTCATCGCTGATTGGGAGAAGTCTAGGGATGATCATATTTCTATTTTATATATATATATATCAATTCAAGTCTGATAAAAGAGAAACGATAAAAAATGTGGTATACATACTTTACAAGTATTATGTATAACACCTGCCACATAATTCATTACTACTGAATTAAAAGAAGCACTTCTTCTTTCACAAATAGTCCAACCATGAACATAAAGAAAGTGTCCTGGAAAAAAAAAATATATTTTACAGGTTATTCCTAGGTTATTGAATTACGTTTAAAAACGTGACGATATGTACACTGTACGCTTTACGGTATATTTATGAATGTTTGTGCATTAAACAAATTGATAATCAATAATTCACGCATAAAAGTATTAAGGGAAAATCAAAAACTACTTACACAGTGTACTAGAAAGCACTCCGGTGCTTCAAAATTTCATACGATATTATGAACGAAGTTGTAATGTTATAGCTTGTTGTATACTGCTGTTTGTCATTTGATCGCTTTTCATGTTTTAAACATGGCGTTTTTAGTTTATTTTCGACTTATGAGTTTGAATGACCCTTTGGTATCTTTTATATCTCTTTCAAAAACGTTTTATAAAATTTGGAAGAACATACCTACAAAAGAATTGAGACTATTGTCAGCTAGAGCTCTTATTCTTGTTTCTGCTACATATAGACCATTTACAACGTTGAATTCACAGCTTTCGTCACTGGTTGTTGTATTTATCCATGGACATAACCCATCTTCAAAGCTACATCCCCTGTATTTCATATTTATGTCTTCCGCTGATATTTAAAAGATGTACGTACATAAATCTGGATAACCCATATTTGATGCATATAGTTAGAAATCACACATTTTGACCAAATTAGAGATTCTTGCTTATACGATGTTACACTCGTTAACTCATTGAATAAATCTCGATGTTACACTCGTTAACTCATTGAATAAATCTCGATGTTACACTCGTTTACTCATTGAATAAATCTCGATGTTACACTCGTTAACTCATTGAATAAATCGCAATGTTACACTCGTTAACTCATTGAATAAATCGCGATGTTACACTCGTTAACGTATTGAATAAATCGCGAGTGTACGTTAACTCATTGAATAAATCGAAAGGCAAATGATATGCAACCAGTATTAAAAAGTATCGTTTTCCACAAAGATTTAATGGAAATGAAAACATCATGAATATTAAACAAAACAAACTTTTTATTAAGGTCTTTATACTTCTTTTTTTATAGATAATTGCAGTAAAGGTCGTATAATGGAACAATATGTTGTTGGGGGGTTTTGTGGGGTATGTCTATTCGACAGGACATTTTGACATGTTCTTTGATTGCGGGTTGATTCATGTGTAAAAATCACAAATAACTGTGTCGCATATTCTATTTTTTTTTCTATATATGAACTGCTACAGGACAATTCTTCCTATGTTTTCACAAGATGAATTATGTTCTGTAACATGACATGTTTATATTTTCTATTCATACAAAAAGGTCAAACGACAAATACAAATTATGTTTTGTTTTGACCGCCTGTCGTACGCTTTCATTTTATTTGATTATAAAGTGTTGTTGTTTGTCAATTTTTACCTAATCTTCTTTTATAATCCTGGGAACAATTATTCATCATTGTTTCAGTTAAGTTGAGAGCATTTGTTTTCATTTGGCTACCACTTATTTTAAGTCTGATTAAAATCCGGAATCGTGTTACCATGTAACCAATTTTTTGTTGGATAACACTGTCCCTACAAGTACAAAAGACTTATTCTCAGAATAGTACAGAGCTTAATATAACAAGGTTTCACAGCTGTTTTCTCTTTAAAATTACCAATACAATTGAGCTTCTCATCACATAAACGGTTTTCTCAACGGTTATCGAAATCAGTTTATCCAGTAGAAGGTCATAATTAAGTGTGATAAGTGTTGTCGACAAACATAGTGACATGATAAAACAAATTTAAGATATATCCAATTAAAAGAAAACTGAAAACTAATAAATGAAAAACATGGACATAGTTTTCTTTTAAAGACACTTGATATGCAATGTCTGACCAAAGTCTTTGATATGATTGTTCATTGAAATAGTTTAATTGTATGTAGTAAACAAAGATTTCAAAGAAAGCTTTAGAACTGTCTATTCAACATGTTTTATGACATCGATTGCAGTTATTGAAAATGTTGACTTCGTTTAAAATATCAAAGTACTTTTCTAGTGATTCTGTTTGTGTTATGTTCTTTCTTCTTTCTTGTGATAAAGAGATTTTATAGATTACTGCGGATTCATTTATTTTAGTTGGTACCATTTTGTTTTGATTAAACGAAAACTTATGTTTCGTAGACAGTTGATCGGAATAAATTTTCGAAACACTGCATGCAAGTCGACAGGAGATTTGTTCATTAACACTTTAATTCTTGGTTCCGGCATACACATGAACTCTACGAAAATATATCTTACGAATTAAAATTAATCAATAGCAATCGATGAATGATTTGCTAACGTTACCAAATGAGTAAATAAATAAATGAATAAATCTTCTTCTGTCCAATTGTTGATTATAACCGTTACCAAGTTTTACTCATTGCCGACTTTGATCATTAGAAAATGTATTGGATGCTGGGTGTGAAGCTTATTAGTTTTACCCTTTGATTAACTTTTGACAGCTCTTGTTATTTTAAATGGAGTTTTGATTCCTAGAAGCTTCAGGTAGATTATTCGAAGAAAGTAATCTCTCACTGGATTTACATTATCTTTTCATCACATTCACATGTGATGTGTAAAGTCATTGAAAATGAGACAGTAATCCAAAAAACAAAAAAAAGACATTTACAGGTCAATATAATTCTCAAACATTATCAAATGTATATACAACATGTAAGGCTCTTAATCTAACAGGTGTCTATATATGAATAAAAGATGGCGGAAATACGTCAATGAGTTTGCAAGAATGCATTTGTAAATTTATCATAAACTAAGGTACCAAGGACCTGATCAGTGTTTTCTACTTGTTATGTGTATACCTCATATCATAGCCTTTTGAAAGTACTGTCGTCTCATTATTAAGAATCATCAATACTTCATAGTCGAAGTCACCATATACTTGAAATGTCAACATACACTGTGATGATGTTTGATAAAAGTTTGGAGATGATACTGTCAGGATTAATTTCTTACGCTTTCCTGCAATAAAGAAATATCTAATTAAAAGGATTATGCAAACAGATTCTTGTGATTGTCTCCTTTGTAGGTTGCGAATAAATACTTCTAAATTTGAGTGAAAATCGTTTCACCAAAGTATCAGTGTATTAACCCTCGCAGTAGTACATCAAGTTTTAAAAGTTTTCCTAATTGCAATTAAGTTTTCTATTGTGTTTTGTGGAATGTTGTTTGCCTATGCTGCAGTGTTTGCTTTTACAACTAATTATTTTGTTTGGTCTATTGACACATTCTTATTTCTTAACATTTTAGTATTACCCTATTTGTGATTTAAACTGTACCAGATCACAAAGTAGCAGACACCATGGAGCCTTATCCAAACCCTGAACAAAATAGTCTTTACATGAAACCAAAAATACCGATGGCGTAGAGAATAAGCAGCAAATAAACATGTCACTGTCTTTGTTTTAAGCAAGCAGTGGATCAGCCTACGAAATCAATGTATGTGAATTGAAATCAGGGGACAATTATGGTAACCTTTTATTATATTCACTGAAATTCCTTTTATCTTCAGTGTAACATATGGTGTTGTGACATAGAATGATATTAATTACAATCGTCAAGGTTCAATATTATCTGTTTTATAATTATTTTTGAGATGTAATTATTGATATTTAGAATTTCATACACAAATAAGACCACATTAAACATAGTTTATTGATAATTGATAAACTTAATAAATTTACATGTCTGTATATTGAGCAGTTAAACGTAAATAAACCGTCCTTCTGTTTGAACAATAACTTTCAAAGTATTACAAATTCATTGAATTAAGTTTCCTTAATGTCAACATTTGTTACAGACATAAACGCAGTTTGAATTGTATGTTATTGTTATGAATATATGTGTATTGTTACTTTTATGTTTATGGCACATACAAATATGCAAATAGGCTATGATTACTTATACGAATTATTCGAATGCAAATAGTTCGTGATTTTATTTACAATATAATAGGAATACTTGTTTCAAATAGGTCGTTGCTTCTTGTGTTTTTTTAAGTTCATGTCTCCCCAGTTCTAGATGTTTAACTTGTTTTACGCTCTGTTTTAAATTGCCTTCACACATTTACAGAAAGCATTGCTAAACATCTTTTGTTTCGTCACTGCTGACGACACCTATGTGTGAGAGCTTTTTGTGAGTACTGTGGTCACTGCTTGGCTTTTCAAAGGCATAATATATTTCGTTGCCGAACGTCTTTTTGTTTGTTTGTTGTTTTTTTTTCAGCGAGTCCAAGGAACAGTTAATTTCTATCAAGGTTGTTATTGTACTGTCTTTTATGAATAACATTTGTAGTGCACTGATATAATTATGTTTAAGGGTTGATTGCTCTGGAGAATAATTGAGATCCTGTCGCATATGTAGGTCTGACCAAAGTCTCATTCTCGTCATTGATTGTTTATTTTCATTTCAATGCATTTATCCGCTGTGTTTGTTGATCTCGTCAAATGCTTTTCTAGTTTATAAATAGTGGCCAATTTTCAAGCAACAATACATATCATGAAACTAACTTGGGATGAAAAAAGAATTAGAAGTACTTGAACTTAAAACGTTGTTATATCATGCTCCTCAAAAAGGTTAGTTCTAGATTTGATTAAAATCTACCAGGTTGTTCACGATAAAGAGAATTTTACGCTATAAGATATATTTTAGAATCAATAATTAGAGAACCAATACATTCAAACACTAGAAGGAATGTAATCACTATCACTTTTAAGTTATCAAAAGAAATGATAAAGTTTACTCATATTCAAATCCTGTTAATCAACCAAAAAGATAAGATACAAGTCATGATTAAAAAAACACCGATGACATTTCATGAACTCCAGAGGAAGTTGACTGGGTGCGTTGACAGAGTAAACGTCTCCTATCATACCTGCATCAGATGTAGATTTTGAGTTTAAAAATTACTCCTGTGACTTGAAACACATATTCACTTAACCCTCGATATTTCATGTAGGTACACTATAAATAGCGATTTTTTATCTCCAGTCTCGAAATTAATATCAACGAAATTAAAGGCATTTTTTATACGCTTGTTGGACAAGACATAATAAATATATGTTATACTAGTAGAATAATTCAAATATCACGAATTTTATGTGAAAACTTAATAAGGTGAAAAAATTCTAGTTACGAAAACTGGCCTTAACTTATTGATTATCTGCACAATCTCTTCAGAGCGACCCTGAATTTGTCCAACACGTTAACATTTATCATTTCCTCAAACTCTGAATCATTCTGCATGAAAGGCATAACTAACAAATATTATAATATTGATAAAATTAGTTATTTATGTATATATTCAAATATCATAGAAAGACTCGTTTCTGCAGAAAGCAATATTTCAGAATATAGTCCTGGGTATGAATATCAAACGTGATGTAAACATAATGATAACTGATATTGCACTTCTAATGGGTAATTTTGGACAACTATGAATGATGTCAAACATCAAGGAAAGTGGGTTTTTTTCTAAATCGGAAATAGTGTGCATGGAAAACATGAAATCAGAGTTTTTTTTTCCATGTATTAGAATTAAAATAATAGAAGACGTTTATTTAAACATTTCAAATATTTACTACTTGATAAACAGTTATGTATTGTGTTGTATAGAAACATTCCCAACAAAATAAGATATATAATGCTATTGGAAATAAAACTATTTCACTCACCACAATTAGTCTAATACACATGTTTAACTTATTTACAAAAATACTCAATTGTTTAAGCACTCGTGGCATAACATACCTGCCATTCAAACGGTACGGTTAACATTAATCATCATAAAGGGATATGATCATCTGTAATCTATTAAATTTTAATGTGTTTGCACTGCACAAATATTATTAGCGAAAACAGAAAACTAATAGTCCTGTATTTTATAACTATTTTCACTTACTATTATTTCAATCTTAATTAAAATGGCGAGTTAGAGGACAAACAATTACACTTATTGCAATTCTAAGTGTAAAAACATATACAAAAATATTTCTTCTTGTATGTTCCCTGGCAAACAGTAATTGGTGTTTATGTTACCGTACAAAAGTCGAATTCAGTATGAACCAGAATCCTCCTTGCAAAAATCGTAATTACACTGGATTTTGATTAGTTTAAATCAGAATTCCAATTTCAGTTTGTATATAATTGAATTCCAATTTGTTTTAGGGGGATTCCAGATCCTACTGAATTCCAACTTGTACCGTAGCATATACATACTAACATGGTTCCAGAGCAAGTGTCCCTGTACTGCTAAGGATTGCCATATATTATAGGAATTTTATGATAACATATGTTTAAAGTAAAACAAAAAAAACAAAAAAAAACCAAAAGAAAGTATTGTTTTAAGACGATAAGATTGACTGAGTGAGCACCATAATTTATTTTTTCCTGATGCAATACAGCTTAAATAATTGTTGAATATATATTACTCTAGATCTTGTTATTGATAGTTTTTGCTTCCAAACTTATTTCTCCAGGTGTTCTTGATACAGAAAAGAGATAACGTACATTACTTTCGGTTTGTTAAGAATGATTTTCTTTTAAAGTTTTTTGTACTCGTAATGTTGAATGTTTGGAAGTGTAAGTTGTTTTTCGACATAGCAGTTATAAATTCGTAAAGTTATAATTCAACAATATCATCCAAAAATAAAAAGTCGTATAAGCTTACCTTCAATTGTCACAGCCGTTATATTTCTTTTCACAGCTGTATTTGCTGCTTTTTGAGAAAACATCTCATTTACATTAACATTTATATCAAATGGGAATGCACAACTTGTTAGATAGTTTCGGAAACATACGACAGATAATCCTTTAAAATGTTGTCGGCACACATTTAAAATGTTAACTTGTTTTGTTGCAGTCATAATTGAATAACATTGCTCCTTCGCAGTATTGTCACATTCCTTTGTACTTTTCTTCCTGTGTGTATATTTTGGCTTTGTATTTTTTAACGTATCATAAAAGCCAGAATGTGAACATCTAACTTGAAAAATTCCATTATCAAATTTTTCCCGTAAAGTCAATCCACCTGCTTCATTATGAACTTTAACCTCCCCCATGTAAACCTTACTCATGCTATCAGTTATATAATTTAGTGTCTGCACCAATGTAGGTTTGTTCGTATTCTTTGTTTTTTCCTCTTCCAAATGCAATAGTGTTATAACAGAGTTCGTTGTTACATCCGACAGATTTATTTTGGCATTGTCCTTCAATCGGTCTGTCCGATTACTACCTTGACTGCCTGATATAACAATTAAACGAAATAGTATCAACGCTACTTTAAACGATTTCATTTTTCACGGATGTATCCGTATCACATAAATCTGATAACAAATTATAATTATTTCACAAGGATAAAATATAATTCGTATGAAGTCGACCTAAAACGTCTTTCAAATTGACACCAATATTAAATAATAATTTATCATATAAAATTAATCCATCAAAACGGCTAAATATTACAATTAAATCTTACAACTTGATTGTCGGTTATCATTGAGTTTCAATAAAAGAAATTGACTGGTTATAGTATTGGCGTTTCTTTAATAAGATACCAATCAGCAAACCTAAAAAGTAATTGACAGTTGATTATATTCCACGGTATGGTGGATATTGATTATTTTAGTAACTTTTGTAATTGGTGACCTCTTACTTGTTTGGTACAAAAACTTTGATTTGTTGCTTTTTTATTATGCATACATTTAATAGTTGATCGTACAAAACATTTTTGTGTGTGTAATCTAGGTTAATTATTCTTCAACCTCTGCAAATGTTTAGTCTGCCCTTCCACATAATACTTAAATAGATTTTTTTTAATGTTTTTATTAACTTTCAAAATTTCCCCCTGACAACCAACCAGACAATAGTTTTTAGTTGACAAAAGGCATAAAAGTACATAAGATGCTTTATAGCTAGTAGAAAAATTTGTTTTTAAAACACAACTGTCATGTACGGATCGTAATTATGCCAAGTGGATAAATTTATCGGTTTTCAAGAGCTAAGCTGACAGCGCGGGTCATCCCTACAGAAGATATGGAGACGACATTTAACCGAAATGGCATGTAGACGACATGCTATGCGATTAAGCTTAACCCAATAGATTTGAAATCAATTTACATTTGCATTTAAAATCTTTTATACGATAGTAATATTTATAGCAATCAAACCAATAAGGACTATTTTTCACTGCCAACACTCAATATACTAAACTACTGACATGTATCCATGCATGTTACTGCTGTTTTGCGCCGAACAGTCGACATTTTTTTGTGTTTCTAGCTCAGATTTTGAATTAAAAATTAGATAAAAAACCAACTAACGAATAATGAATTTACATTTTTTTTCTACCTCTGCTGAGTCAAACAAAGTTTTACGAGGGGAGTCTTTTTCTTCTTTGGGATATCCATCTTATTTGCAGGGTCGCCATATTAAAAATATATGCGTTTATTTTTAAATATAATTTACCTCGTTAATATAGTTATAAATGTTAAATTAAATTCTTTTAGTGTATTTTGACATTTTGATACGGTCCCTCTAATTTTTTAGTCAGTGTAGGTATCGGTGTCGGTATAAGTGTCCGTGTAGATGACTTTTCGAAAATGTCTACTACCAAGTCAGGAAAATGGCCATTGTTATATTATAGTTCGTTTCTGTGTGTGTTACATTTTAATGTTGTGTTTCTATTGTGTCGTAGTTCTCTTATATTTGATGTGTTCCCTCAGTTTTATAGTGTAACCCGGATTTTTTTTTCTCAATCGATTTATGAATTTCGAACAGCGGTAGACTACTGTTGCCTTTATATATAATACATGATAGACAGATAAATACCTTTACTTTAAATGAAATAAAAAAATACTATTCTAACGATATTAAGAATAGAGTCAACTTTTTAAAGATATTGGAAAATTGAAAATTTAGAAAAGCCTGATGAATAAGAAACTCTTGATACCCTGAGCATAACACAATCTAAGTAACGGATTAAATATATTGCAACACTCTTAATTTTCATATCATAATATTTTATTTTTGAAAAAATCATAGAAGTTATTAAACTAAATATCCATAAAAGTCATGACGATCTTTATCGCTGGTATTGATAAAACAAATAATAAGCATGCAATGCCTTGTTAATTTTCTGGACAGTAAATATGGAGTCTAGAAATTGCTGTAAGAGCAAATTTAATCTAAAAAACAATTTTGTGATAATATAAATCGCCCTTGCGGATTTTGTTTTAAAATTGTTTTGACTCCAAATTTTGATAGATGATTGAATACAGTAAGAAAGAGGTGTTATTGTGCATTTAGCATGCTGAATTATATAACGGTGAATTTTAAGACTTTAATCTTTTTTGGTTATCCTGTAGTGTGAATGAAGCTATTACTTCGTTTAATGTTCTAATTTCAAAGCATGTACGATCGATCGTTAATTGTTCATGATGGCTTCCTTTTTAATTAGTGTTTTGGGTACATGACACAATAAAAAGAAATAAAAAAATATCCAACGTTTTATAAACAATGCTGAATACAAATATCACTTGTCAAATGGAGAGCAATTTTCGATTGTATTCTTCGAACCAGTATAAAGAAACGTAAAATAACAAATATACCAAACTCCAAGGAAAATTCAAAACGGAAAGTCTCTTATCAAATGGCAAAATCAAAACCTCAAGCATATCAAACGAATGGAAAACAACTGTCATATTCATGACTAGGTACAGGCATTTCCTTATGTAAAGAAAATGGTGGATGAAACCTGATTTTATAGCTAACCTCTCACTTATATGACAGTCGCATAGAATTCAGTAATATTGACAACAATGTGTGAGCAAACCAAACAGACACAATATTTACAAAATGTCACAAATTAGGGTATAGCAGTCAACATTGTGTTATAATCTTAATAACTATAAACAAATAACCATATGAACAAAGAAAAAAGAATGGCATAAATACATTCTAAAGACAAAGCACATTAGCCAAAATGAAAGACAAGAATACAAAAAAAAATGGCCATAGCACACTAACACAATGTAAGTGCAGCAGTATTGATTCCATGAGAATTCTGATAAAATCTGAACAATTAAATATGTGTTTGTGTGTTCCCTTTTGTTTTTATTAACGATTCAACAAACCAACATCTGCAAATTTCTAAATAATTATTTTAATATTATATACAAATATATGATTCTGAACAATGAATGCCTTATGTTAATTTTAATGATTTTGTTTTTTATGGAATTTGGTATTATTGGCAGATGTTTTATAGTTTCTTTTAATAGCTGTTCTCTTTCTAGACCCCAGACGATTAAAAGCTGACCTATTGCATAGACACTTGGATGTAGGTAAAAACTGTAAATGTTGGTTTCATTCTTTATCTCCTTCATTAATTTTGTTCTGTGTTGCTGTTGTACTGACTATATACAGCAACTCCATCTGATTATATGATACATCATTCCAATTGTATACCATTAAAAAGAAAAGTGATGGCTTCGTTGTACATTAGATAACAGGTGCATGAAATATTACAAAATTACAAATAACCTGCGTTTTTATGGTTGTCCATGATAACATATAATCATGCAATGAATTGAGGCATAATAAAGACCGTGATGTAATCTTGTATGTTAAATCATGTGCGTTATTGGTTAATTTCCACATATAGAATTACTACTAATAATCCAATTACAATGCGATACTGGTAGTTGTGTATTTATAGTGAACACGAATATGCAACGTTCGAATAGTCTTTGCAGGCAAATATAAAGCACATTTGCATACCTTATAAACCACATTAACAACTCATTTACCAGCGGTTTACTAGGTTTTTGTAATGTACTAAGCAACAATCCACGCATCTTTTACAAAGATATCTTGTTTTCTGAACTCTTAATTCTTTTCAAGATTACTATCGTATACAAACATTGTTCATGTATGATTTTATTTTAAAGGAAACACAAAGTACTTCTTTATTGTTTTATCGATTTGCTTGTACTTTAATCATATTGTTTTAATAATTCAACATTAAACAATCTGTTTCCATGCTAATCTTTCACATAAGAAGTATGATGAACGAATTTTAAATGTTGGTTAAGCCATTTTATTTCAGCTGGGATATTTGAATGATTGTCCTTTAGTTAAAACATATATAAAACATGTTAACATATTGGTACTATTAAGTTCAGTTCATTGATTATATTTCTAATTTAACCTTGCGTAGAGATGTTCATTTGCATACCGTCTATGGACAAAGCAATTCAGACATTTAAATTATTTCAGGTGCGAGGCATTCAGTGCTATAAGTCCTATTACATCGATTAAACATTGTTTACAATTTCATTTGAATGTTTTTTTCTGATCAAGAAGTCTTATCCCATTTCTTGGAAATCTGCTTGAATTATTAATCGTATGACCGACGAAATATTGCATTTACTGTATTAAGTTGTAAACACAAGAATAACAACCAAATCGGACACACATTATGACAACATTACAGAAGTCGTCTTCCAAACAGCTTTCTTCTAAAAGAGTACAAATTCAGTAGTTCGAATAATTCATGCATTGTTTTACTTATAAATTACTTTTATTGCCAACCATGCAACGCGTTGCGGGGAATTAAAAATTCGATGCGATTGATCGTTTATTCATTCGTCCGTCCACGTGTTGGTGAGTTTGTGCATCCGTTCAGTCTTGTAAACGTTATCATTTTTATACTTTTTGGCAGATCCTTTTGAAATTTTTATCAACTATCTCTATCAGATATGTTTCGGACGGGTTAAAAAATCAGTGCAAATCTGCTTTTTTTTAAAGTAGTTTTGCCCTTTGAAATGTACTTTTTATTAAACACTGCATTGTAAGCAGCCTCTCAACTACCTTTTTGTTTGATTTTTATGAAACTTGTATCATCGAGGTCTTTCAAGAATTCGATTGTAAGTGCCGATTGACTACGTTTACAGGAGTTATGACCCTTGGTTTATTGTAATCTTAAGCAGAAAAAAACATTATTTTTTACGATCTTATTCTTTCGTTCTTGTGGGATGTTCATGAAATAATTTAATAGAACCAAAAAAAAAATTATTGATCTTGTACCGATTAATATGAACATCATCGGGGGACTCTCGGACGCTTTTGTGATCACTATGTGTGTTTTTTTAAATGAGAGTTAGAAGATAAGATATTTTGAGATAACACTTCTCTAGATATAAATAGTAATATTTTCAATAATGTTTTATCTTTTTTCATACAGCAATTAATTGTGAATCGATAATTTTATGTTTGATCAAGTTTAAGTATTAACCGTTTAATACAACACAAGCATTGATGCAGCTAAATATATATGACATGATATTGTCAATGATTTTAGATTAGTTTGTATCTGTTCATTAAGCAATAATAACGAACCTGTTAAATAATGTTATCAGCAAACGGCCATCGTTTGTATTCAAATGTTATAGTTTAAATATTTAAACGTTTGTTTGTTCAGATCT